GGTCCGACGGGGGGGAGGGGGGAGGGGGGAGGGGGGAGGTTAAACGTACAGGACGCATCCTTGCGGCGGCAGATCTCAATGAACTGCTTGATGTCGGAGACTTCACGAGGCATGGTGGGCAGAGGGGGTGGGTATGTGATTGGTAAGTTCGGGAGGAGAGAGTGGAAGTGGTCGTTTGAAGCTGAGCTGGACTGGCGGGCACATGTAAGTTCTCTCTCTACTTAGTCCCGTCTCTTTCGCTCTAAGCTCGACAGGGTGGGCGGTGGGCGTGCCTCCTCCTCGTTCTGCCCCCCTCGGCCCGTAAGATTGACCGGCCTCTGTGTGGGATGTAGGGTTGCCGCCCCAGGAAGCCCTGAGGGCTGTTGTGTCTGTGCCACATCGTGGCGGAGCTTAGCTACAAGCTTGAAGAGAGCTGACGTTGTTCGGGTGGCGGTGCAGGCCTCCGGACTCCTGGCTAGACCTCCTCCCCGGCAGGCGGCCGCTTTACTTCGACCCCCGTTGGTCTATACTCTAGTCTACCACCCACATCGCAGCCTAAGGAAACTATATCGCTGGTCTACATGTAGCATATCTGGCCAGTTCCCTTAAGCCATATAAATATCCTAGCGAACTACTGCACATCGTGACTTCTGTATCCAAACCAACCTTACGTCAAGAATACATCCAACATGCCAACGCCGTTGGATCGTGCTTTGAACTCCAAGGTACACACACCCTCAGATGTGAAGTCTATCATAGTAGCTAACGTACAGGTCTCTCTAGAATCTCTTTCTGGGTATGCCGTGGATGAAGCATGTGGTTGTTTCTTCGAATCAACATTCTAACTGTCTTTCAGGGTTCACTGGAATGGTGACAGCTGCGGCTGTCTGGGCTATTTGGGGTAGCGACATGTTCCCTGCGGAGCCAGATCCGACGGGAGGTACGGACCAGAGTCCTCGAGCTGTATCATCCATGCGTTGACTTCTTTTAGACCCGGAAACCTGGTCTCATGATGAAATGCGAAGATGGCTTCGAGCGGTAAGTCCGGCCCCGTGGAATTTCCTTTGAACCTGGCGCTGCAGAGGGATAGACAGCCCGCTAATAACCAGATAGAGAGGACTTCTACCTCATGAGAGCGCAACGCGCGAAGAGCTGCTGGAACGCATAAGAGCCAATTTGCGCGTGCCGCGCAGAAGCCAAACTTAATTCCGAGACGGGTATGGTGTATGGGCGAGCTCCGGAAGGGTGTTTTCTTTTATCGGCATGTCATAGCGTTTCTAGGTTGGATGGTTTTCTTTTCCCTCGGTATAGCTCAAGTTATAACATATGTCGTTGAATGTCTTTCGTTGATTCGTAGCGCATTATTTGAATTGGTATTGTCAAAAGGCCAGCACTCAAGTATCGTCGTATGGTCGCGACCTATTTCGATGATCCGTCCGCGTTGCGATCGTGCCTTCCAATGGCCCCCTCCTCTAAACCACCAGCCGGAAGTTCTGAGTCTGAATGAGCCATTCACGCCTGCGCTTTCCCTTCGGTCCATCGGCAGTGGGATTCGGGACTAGCACGAAGGTCTCGCTGAATCCGCGCTGCGGTAGATCCCTGGATTCGCCGAAGCGGACAAAGCCGCTGACGATCACGAGGATGGACATGTCCTTGATAGTGGTCTCTGCGGGCAGCTTGAAGCCCGTAGCGGTAGGCGTGGGATAGGTGCGATTGATGATCTGGCAGTCGAATGACTGGACTTCGTAGTGAGTGGGAGTCATCTGGTTGACGAAAATCTCCTGGACGGCGGCGCCATCGGCGACAACATTGCCGTTGAAAAGGATAGTCGATGCCTGTTGGCTGTAGAATGAGGAAATAGTGGCGCGATTGGACTGGAGTGCAGGATAAAATGAATTCACAAATTCAGTTGCCGCTGTAGGTGAGAGAAAGTTCCATCAGTAGGAGATCACTAGCTTTAGACGGGCAACCCCACGTACCCTCCGTGGAATGCTTGACCAGCGTGTCTTCGGATGCAGGGGCCATTGCGAGCTGTAGCAGCAGTCTCTTGCTATATTAATGAAGGGAAAAGCCAGAGCGTGAGAGAGTGTCAGAGAGAGCGCGCGCGAGAAGAAGATCGAGATGGTTGCCGAGGAAGGAAAGGCAAGGCCGAGCGGCAGAAAAAAGGCACGGAAGCTTGGACCACCTTCCCGGAGACGAGCTTCGGCGAAGTCGCAAGTCCGCAATCATTTCCACCTTCCTTTTCTCTCCAGATCTTCTCAACAATGGCAGTGCTGAGGGCTGGTACTTGTGCTCTGCCATGGGCAGGCCGGTTCCTGGCTTCCAGTCGGTCCTCCTGGAAACTTGCATCGTGTAAGCCTGCGCTCACTGCGACAATTGCGCGTCCCCGTTGTTTCGCAACAGCGGCTTCCGAGCCTACTCCGGGGAAGCCGTACTATGTCACGACACCGATCTTCTATGTCAACGCCGGTAAGCTGATTGCAATTCTTCTTCGGAGCGGAGGGACACGTATAGCTAATGTTTGGTTACTCCTAGCTCCTCATGTCGGCCATCTGTATACCATGGTCATTGCCGATGTCCTAAAGCGATGGCGAGCATTGCTCGGCGAAACCGACGCTCAGTTACTGACGGGAACCGATGAGCACGGAATGAAGGTATCCCGAGGCCTATCTATAGACGGAATCCGACGCCGAATGATAATAGAAATTGACTTGTCGTCATCATAGATCCAGCAGGCTGCTCTAGCCGAGGGAATGGAGACGCAAGCGTTGTGCGATCGGAACTACAAGAAGTTTGAGGTTGGTGTCTGTCAATCATCGGCTAGCTTGGCTCAATCATGCTGAGGTGAAATCAATCAGGACCTGGCGAAGGCTGCAGATTTGGACTACAACTACTTCATTCGGACGACGGAGCCTGCGCACAAGGAAGCGGTCCAATACTTCTGGGTATGACAAGCCATGCTTTGCCTTTTGCTTTCACTAATAAAGGTACAGGAAATGCTGCAACATAGGGGGTTCATCTATACTGCCAAGCACGAAGGATGGTACTCAGTCAGCGATGAGACCTTCTACCCCCAATCGCAAGTGCATAAATCACTTGATCCGGAGACGGGACATACAAGGATGGTGTGTCTATATCAAGCTTACATTGGACATGGAATTTCTAAGCTAACTTGAATCAGGTTTCGGCGGAAACAGGGAAGGAAGTGGAGTGGTCTTCAGAAACGAACTATCATTTCCGACTGTCGGCCTTCCAGGAACGCCTGCTGGATCTATACAAGACCGGTTTCATCACCCCAACGAACTATACAACCAATATCGTCAAGTCCGTTTCTGAAGGTCTTCAAGATCTGTCGATCTCCCGACCTTCAGAGCGTTTGACATGGGGAATTCCAGTGCCCGGAGATGACACGCAAACCATCTATGTCTGGGTAGATGCGTTGGTCAACTACCTCACTAAGGCAGGATATCCCTTCGCTCCGGGCCAAGGGGCTCGCCTCGGTTGGCCGGCGGATGTACATGTGGTTGGGAAAGATATCGTCCGGTACGAGTTGGTCCATTGCGCTGTGTAAGGCAACATGGCTAACCATATTAATAGCTTCCACTGTGTTTACTGGCCAGCCTTGCTTATGGCTCTAGATCTTCCGCTGCCTCGCAACGTCCTTGTTCACGGGCACTGGACCTTGAATCGAGAGAAAATGTCCAAGTCCACCGGCAATGTGGTAAATCCTTTCTTCGCGATCCATCGCTTTGGCGTCGACACGATGCGCTTCTTCCTCATTAACCAGGGTGAACTGGCGGGAGACGCAGATTATGATAACGCTTACATCATCCGCGATTATGAGAAGGTTTTGCAGAAGGGCCTCGGCAACCTCGCTACACGGACGATCGGGTGTGCAAAGAAGGAGTTCCGGACTTATATTGTCAACGGTGCACAAGGAAGGCTTCCCTCGCCGACATCCGCCGATACGGACTATGAAGTGCAATTGAGAGAGCTACCCACGAAGGTTGCAAACCACATGAACAGCCTGAACCCGCGCGCAGCCCTGCAAGAAATCAGAGCTATAATCGAGTTGGTAAGGAGCCATACACACCTCTTCCTCTCCCCCCTATTGGGCCCTCGCACCGAACTGACGAATTCGGCATCAGAGCAATAAGTACTTCCACAATACGGCACCCTGGCAGAACCCTGGGGAGACCCAGCGAGTCATCTACAATGTCACCGAAACCATCCGGATGAGTGGTATTCTGCTGCAACCATTTATGCCCACCAAATCGAAGGAGATTCTGGACATGTTTCAGGTGCACCCGCAGAGGAGAAGCTTCGCGTCGGCCGAGTATGGGTCGGACCCATCCTACGGAGAAGATACTAAAAAGAAAGCCTTGTTTCCCCCGCTCCCTTTTCGATTTGATAACGAATAAGGCCCGGGGCCCAATCACGACATCCAATCTGGAAGTAAGGCCGGTAAGCCCGGTGTGGCAGAAGAGGAGAAAAGGCGGATCTCTGGGAGGGTCACGATCTCCGCTCCCAGCCAGTGCGGAAATTCCAGAGCGTTCCTTCGACCCGGTCAGTCGCTTGATAAAGGTTCGCCAACGGGCGCTTTATCCCTGACCTATGCCCCATCTGCAAGGGAGGTTTATGTTATGTCATCGGTGGATGGCGACTGGAGCAAGGTTTCGTAATGTTTATCAGCGGGAAAATGGGCTTGGTGAGTGGTGGTTGCGCTCCGCCCAGGCCTGGGGAGATATCGGTTCGGGAAACTCAGGGAGAGAGGGTTTCCCGCGGCAAACTGGGTTGGTGTGAGAGCCGACTGTATCGGGAACCGTGCGTTGTATATCACATTCACTTGGGGGGTCCAGAGGGTTATATCATGAGGCGAAGTATATCAGGTTTGTTGGGTGAGTTTCTTTGATTGATTGTTTGTGAAACAAAACCTCAAAAAATCTCAACTCATCTCTACCTATTCCTGGTTCTCTCCCCTCCTATCTTGTACATTATCGTTTCTATCCTTCACATACAATCAAATCATCTATACCACATCTTCCATACTTCCGCAAACAACGCAATCCATTTCATCTTATCCTTCTGGTCCTAACAGACCGGGTCTCATCTCCCTCCTCACCCACCCTTGAGGGAACACACACAGCCTCTTTCTCTCTCCAAGAAAAGAACAAAACAACAACCATGGGCAGCATCTCCCTCTCCCAGGCGGATCCCACCCCCACCGACAACTTCCCAACCTTCAAAACCCCCTGGCACCCGACCCCCCTCCTCGAATCGACTACCCTCTCCCGCGCCGCCGGGTGCCGGATCTTCCTGAAGCTGGAGAACCTGCAACCGAGCGGCTCCTTCAAGTCGCGCGCCATGGGCAACCAGATCCTGTCGCACCTCCGCAAGCCCGAGCACGCCCACCGCACCGTGCATTTCTACGCCTCCTCCGGCGGCAACGCCGGGCTGGCCGCCGTCTGTGCCGCCCGCACCCTCGGCTACCCCTGCACCGTCGTGGTGCCCGTCTCGACCAAGCCCCTGATGGTGACGAAGCTGCGGCGCGCCGGGGCGGCGGACGTCATCCAGCACGGGGAGACGTTCGCTGAGGCCGGGTCGTACATGAAGGAGGTTGTTATGCAAACACAATCGTCCAAGGGGGATGGGGAGGATGACGTGGTGAAGATCGCGCTGCATCCGTTCGATAACGAGCCCATCTGGGAGGGCAATAGTACCATTGTCGATGAATTGGTGCAGCAGATCCCTCCACCGGCGGGGCCGGAGGAGGAGGCTGTCCATGCAGGACGGGCGTTGCCGGTGGATGCGATTATCTGTAGTGTTGGCGGTGGCGGGTTGTTGAATGGGTTGGTGGCGGGGATTGAACGGGAGCGGGCGCGGTTGTCCAAGGCATCATCGCTTGCTGAGGATGGAGTTGAAGTGGTGAAGCCGGTGCATCTGCTGGCGGTCGAGACCAAGGGCACCGATTCCCTCGCCGCCGCGCTGCAGCACGAGGAGCTGGTCTCCCTGCCTAAGATCACCTCGCAGGCTACCTCGCTGGGCGCCGTCCGTGTCTCCGAACGCACGTTCCAGTATGCCGTGAAGCCGCCCCCAGGCGTGAGGGTGCATAGTGCCGTGTTGTCCGATGCGGAGGCGGCCAAGGGGGTGTTGCGGCTTGCGGATGAGGAGCGGATGTTGGTCGAGTTGGCGTGTGGTGTCTGTGTGGAGGCTGCTGTGGGTGGCGGTTCGTCGTCGTCGACGGGCAAAAAGAGGAAGTATGTGGATGAAGGCTACGGGGATGATCGCCTGTCGGCCGGGGAGAATGACGACGAGGGCTTCTCGCCGGTGCACGCCCCTTCGCCACCTGCGGTCGCATCGCTGTCGTCGAAGTTGAAGCAGTTGGTCCCCGACTTGAATGAGGACGGCCGCGTGGTCATCGTTGTCTGTGGTGGCAGTAATGTCACCATCGATATGGCGGCAGAATGGCGGAAAATGCTGAGTGAGGGCTGGGCTTGACTGCGTTGGGATCTCGGATTTTGTCATATACGGATAGATATGCTGCTTTCTTGGTTCAGAACCTGGCTGCGCAGGCTTCATCTTACGATATTTAATGAATTCATGATTGTTTTGAGATTCGCTTTGGTGTATTTGCCTCTGTAGCAGGAGAACTAGAGCCGCATAGGATCTGATGTCGGAATGCTATTTTTTTTCTGTCACTTGTCAGGTAGGGAATATGTCTGCAATGATGACGGTGTGGCAGGGGATGTTGCCCGAGACTCGACTGGGACAATCCCACGGCGTTGCATGCATGCACATTCTATAACTACACTGTCAGTATTTCACCCAAGTTCCGAACAATGGAAACATGTGATTTATGACAACGAGGCCTCTTTGGCTTACCTTGTGTTAGTCCTGTTTCAAGTGACATTTTGCTTGCTGTACGTGACGGCAACTGAACGTGCTTTTGCCCAACTTTATCACGTCAAGCTGGATTTCCACATGTCCGCATGCTTTTTCGCCGTGTTGTCTCTGAAGATTCCTGCTTGGTCATATATTCATGTGCCTTGACATGCTATACAGGTGCATCACCATGATTTTGACCCCCCTGGAGGTCTTCTTCTTCTTCTTCCACCTCGTCCTCCACATCCTCCCATTCTGAATCCACCTCGCTTTCTCCCTCGAAAGGGTCATTAAAGGTGACTATCCCTTCGTTTTCTTCCTCGTCTTCTAAATCTTCGTCAAGCATAGTTATCAGTTCTACCAGAGCGGGTGAGACCGCTACACCATCAAGCGGTAGAGCAGCTTGATCAGAGCCCCACAACCCTCTCCCGGTTACGGTCGAGTCGTCAGACTCGTTGGCATCTGGGTTCGAGTCGGGCGTATCACCGTCAATTTTGGGTGCTAGATTGAGTACACGAACAGCCTTGATGGGGAAGACGCGAGCGGGACCTTGCTCTGGTGCTGGAGGTGTGGCTCCGGGGAGGTGAGGAAGCGATTGACGCCATGCGATAGTCTAGTCCTAATATTAGTCCTGCGTATCCCAATTCCACAATTTAAAGGAACGTAACATACAGTGTAAGTAGTCATGATCGCATCATCATACAGAGCCATGAAACTGACCGGTACATTGAGATGCACCACGGAGCTGGTGACTAGTGAGAACGACCCGCGGGCAGGACGATCTCCAACCTGTACTCTATCCTTGTCATCAAGCCCGACCACATATACCCGGTCTTGAATTTCGAACATCACGCGGTGGTTACGCACTGACAACCACCCGCCCAGGTCAAAGCCCCGCCCATTGGAATCACATTCAATGAGATCACTGTGCGCCGCCATACTGACTGAACTTTTGAGTGCCTCGCGCCAATTGGAGCACACGAAAACACGGCCAGCACGGGAGAAGCCAGTGAAGAGGTCACCATCTAACATGCCAGCTCCCCATTCGTCAACCCTGTTGCGAATATGCTCAGGGTCATTCGGGGTTGGAAAGGGGCCCCGTTCAACCTTGACCGGGACCAGATGATCTTTGCGAGACACCCCCTCCCGGTATGATGAACGCGATGTGCCCTGACGCACAGCGTCTGCAAAGCCCGCAAACGCGGCTCTTGGGGAAGGGTGTGGGACCGCTGGCGGGCGAATGTGGTACACCTCCGTACAAAGTGACGGCTGCAACTCACCCAGGAACTCTCCCGACTTCTTATCGTAGACATGATATCCTCTTGGACCCATGGAGTAGATCACGACATCCTGACTCTGGTCGAGGTGGCCCACAGCATCGTACTCAATGTTCAAGTGCGTAGTCAGCTGGGGAGGTCTCTGTGTCATGTCGTACACGAAACCCTGCCCCTCGGTCGAGACCACGCAGAGTGTTCCGTACGAGAGCTGGAAGCCTCGAGTTTGACAATCATGGTCCAAGATGGCGATGCGCCGGAACTCGCCACGCTTGGCCCCTTCCAGATCCGTCTGCCAGACCTCCAGTGCATCCCCCTCGCGATCAAAGACGGCCATGCCATCCTGATATTCCAGATGCGCAAAGGGGCGGACCGCGTCCCCATCGCTATCCAGCGTTGAGGGAAGGTTCCACAGATTCAGACCCGTGTCCATGTCAGTTACGTATAGCCCGCCCGCATGGGATGTTGAGATGAAGATTCGACGCTTGAAGTCGGGACGGAACCGCCAGATAAATTCATTGCCGACCTGCAGCACCGACTCTCGCGCAGACGGTCGCGACTCGGCCCAATTGCGGGTGAGCAGCGCATGGCGCTTACACAATTCTTTACATGGTAGAGCACCTTCAAACAATTTGGAGAATGTGGTGTTGCTCTGAGAGGAGCGGCCGGAGGGTTGGTTTTTCTTAAGCGCAGCGGCGTAGATTGCTTGTTGGTGTGTGACGTCGATGAATTGATGCCAGGCTTTGGATACCGCGGTCAGAGACGCTAGAGCGGATGCGGGGGTGAACTCCAGGATCCGTAAAACAACCTCTGGAGGTAAAACGCTCAGAGGATCTGCCAAATGTTCAAGTTCGGACATTCTCAGCTCAATGAGTGTTCTGTGAGGCAGGAAGTCGATGAGAAGTTGCAGAGAGTTGGAGAAGAGGGGCCCTTGATACTGATGATTCTGTCTCGGCTCACCGCCCTCGATAAGAACCAAATGTCTTATCGCTCCATCGGAAATGCGGAAGAGTTGCGATAAACTATGTATATACTTGAGTTTGATTGGATACATACAACGCTATTTTGGTTGACTGAGCTTAAATCAAAATTCGCAATCATGCAGAAGTCGTCGCTTCCTGTCCTGCGATAGATCGAATCCGATAATCCCAATAATTCCTCCGGATGGGATCATACTTCTCCTTTAGCAATGTGAGCATCTGAACCGCCTTTTGGCCTGACGTTGGTTCCGTTTCCTCTGCCAGCACGTCAGCGAGCCATTCTATGGCATGACTGCTTTTCACTTCGAACCCGTCGTGCTTTTCAGTCACAAACTTTCCAGCAAAGTCCTTCCACTCCGCTAGGGGTCGGCCTGCAGCGCGCAGAACACCCCTCGCGTAAGACCATGGACTGCGATTCTCGGGCGCCCGGACGATTTTGGACTGGGCGAACTTCAACTCAGCGTCGACTACGTCCTCATCAACCACTGCCAGCCGGCCCTTCTCCGAGGGGGGGCCGTCACTATTCGGCATCCCTGCATCGGGCTCTCCGTCACGAGGTCCAAAACGAAGCATAAAGCGGTGATTCCAGGCGGAATTGTTTCGGACGTCCGAGGTCAACAAGGCTTCCACATCTTGGATCTCGCGTGGGGCATCCCACAGCTTGAAATGCCGCACCAACCAATGGCGGTAGGTCCACACGTGGTAGTTCTTGGAGTCCTGGGCAAACATTTCCATCAAGAAGTCTGCCTCCTTGTGTGGGGGCGTAGGAAAGAAGTCCTCGCGTGATACCAGAACTTGGCGATGGTGCCTGACGGAATTAGATGGCTAAAGATACACACGAAATGTTGAGGGTAGCTGATCATACCAAATCTGATAGTTCTTCAGATACTTGAGCGATACACCGTTCAACCATTCCAGTTCATCCTGAAGGTCTTTCCCTAAGGCAAAAAGAATCTTTGCTCGGTAAATCCTTATATTTGGTCAGCCTTGCTCTCGGTATTGCTTGGGGCTAGTCATGAGTAGAGTTCATATTAGCTTACCATACGGTATAATGGGCGGGATTCATTGAGATGATGTCTTGAGTCAACTTCAAGGCCCTTTCAGACATCTCGTTGGCGGCCATGACTGCGCGCAAATATGAGGTGGCTTCGAGGTATGCTTGGGGATAAGCAATGGTAGCCAGAGGCTGGGCACCGGATTCAGAGCCATCGTTGAGAGGAATGGGTTGAATTGAAGCCCATTCGGGGTCTGACGCGTATTTGCCCTCCATTTTTAATGTAGTAATATAGTCTGACTATGCTTGGGCTAGCAACACAGTCTTGGGGAAGGATGGACAGCTCCCGAGAGGCGAGACACAGCACGTCCCACAATTAAACCGATTTTAGACGGTGTCAAAATGAAGTATTATTATGTTTTGACACGGTAAGATATGATCACGGATTCTTGCACTCGCAGCCTCAGAGACCGGGTTAGCTGCAAAGATGGGGTTCTGTGTCGGATTTGGTAGAGCAAAAGATGCAGTTAAATTGAATCACGGGATTTTTGATCACCAAACACAGAGTTTCTGTTCAGGCGATAGCATACACGAGTCTGCGAGCTCATGCACAGATGTGTTATGGAGATGATTGGTTTTAAAAAGTCGCTGCTTGCATGGAATTGGAGAGCTCTGAAATTGATAGATTGAATTGGAAGCGTAAGTGTTTGGGGGGGAGATGGATCGGAAGGTGGTGGGGTACATCTATGCCTGAGGCAGCATTGAGACAATATCAAGGCAGCCATCTATTGTTCTCACTTTGTTTCTCATTCTTCAATTCTTTCCTCTGCCGTCCTCCACGATTGTGCTTCGATCAGCATTGAGTCGCTTCAATTCAACTTTCATCGCCTTGTCCAGCTTCCCACGTGTCTTTTTGAGCTCTCATCTCTTTATGATAGTCAATGACCAGAACCCGGCTAATTTGCCTCGAGTCCAGACCGCAGGATTTCCCAAAGAGGATAAAATTCCCCTACCGGCGTTGCGCCGCTGCTCCCCGCACATCCCCCCAGTCCGTCGTCACCTGCAACCGCAGCCAGCACACCCTTCCTTCTCGTTCGCCTCCTAACATGCCGATTCAATCACTAGCCTTATCCTTAACCTACCATGAGCCCGCTATTGATTGATAATGCGTCGCGTCAAGAAATCCCGTAATGGCTGTGCTAGGTGCAAGAGCAAACGGGTGAGTCGCCCTGCCTATCGGTGCTATCAGTTTCATTTCCATACCCACAGCGACAGAAGTCTAATGCTATTATCTTCTTTCTCTAGGTCAAATGTGGAGAAGAAAGGCCTCACTGCAATCGATGCACCCGCTTAGGAGTTCACTGCCCTGGATACGTCCAGTCGCTACGATGGGTAACCAAATACCCAGACCGCAACCCTGATACGGTTCATGAGACTTCCGATGAAACTACAGCTGAGCCAAGCGCTCAACCCGATTCTCAACCTCCAGATAACTCGGATTCCCCCGAGAACATCGACCCCCAGACTCAGCCTTCATTAACCGCTAACGATGGCTCTTTCAATCTCACATCTCCTGACGCCCAGGTCGAGTCGAGCACGCTGGCACTGGGCGGCCCGCACGCTTTATGCGATGGCCTGTGGGATTTACAACAGTCCGGTACACTTCCCGAGCTCGCGGATCTATGCAACCAGACTCCAACTTCTGCGTCGGGGCCAACTCCAGCGCCTCAAGACGGCTCGATCTTCAATTTCGGGTCACCCAACCACGCCGACGATCCATTTGGTCTATCTTCCTTAGCAGCGCCTATACTGCAGGATGAGCCTCGCAGCTTCTCTGGATTCTCGCCATCTACCATCGTACGCCATTATCCACCTCCCAACTCGAAAGTACCGCAACGAGACTTCACCTCGATTTCACAGCCTCTAAATAATCCATCATGGACCCTCATCGAATACTATTTCAAGGAAGTGGCGGCATTGTTCTCGAGCTATGACAGCCAAATGAACCCCTTCCGATCAACAGTGTCTCGGCTCTGGGGCTCATCCCTCGCCATGTGTCGGACCATGCAGAGCATGGCAGCGGCCACTCTCGTGAACGACTTCCCCGAGTTCGGACCGTTGGGCCGAAAGATGCGCAACGAGGCCGTGGACATCATCAGCAAAGAATCGAATATGGACGACAAGTCCCTGCTAGCACTCCTTATGCTGGGCCAAACGGCAAGCTGGCACGATTCCAAAGATCTCGGCATCTCATTCTTCAACCTACTACGGAACCACCTCGATACAAGACCCGAGAAGAGCCCAATAACAGGCCGCGGTAACAACCATCAATTCTTCGAAGAGGCCTTGATTTACTGGGAAATGCTCCTGTCCTTTGTGGCCGACGATTCCGCTGTCCTGTCCGGGGCCACGGCCGCAGGGCCCGAGGAATCCCTCGTCCTACAGCGCGTGCCGCACCCGTGGACGGGGATTGCGCGTGACACTCAATTTACCGTTCAAGAGGTGGGGCGGCTGGTGCGCCGCGAGAGAAAGCGGATGCGCTGCCGCACCTTCACGTCCCACGCCGACGTCGCACAGGCGCAGCAGGCCATCGAACGAGCAGAGGAACTCGAAGAACGACTGTTGGGACTCGCGCACCCAGCGGAGGCCGAGATCATCAGCCCCGGCGACAACGAGACCCCCGTGTGGCATCTCCTCACCATGGCCGAGGTCTACCGCTGCACCGGGTTAATGCAGCTATACCGCGTCTTCCCTGATCTGCTGCGTCGACGATTACGTCCGCAGCGGGCCTCGGGCAGCAGCCCCACCAGCGCCGAGGATGCGTCGTCCATGGCCATGAACAACCGCGATCCCTTCCTGTCCCCCGCTTTCGGCAGCTCGCAGCACTGGTTCTGCGACCCTGCCCTTCTGCATCCCAGCCCTGAAGCCCCCACCACGGCGCCGCCGTTTGAACCCATGCCCGCGCCCGCATCGGCCCCCCAGTACGACACCTGGCTGACCGAACTCGCCCTCACCACCCTCTCGCGGCTGAAGACCATCCCGCTCGAGTCCCGCACCCGGTGCCTGCAGCCATTCCTCCTGGTCGCCTCGAGCAGCGAGCTCCGGCTCCCCCGACTGCCGCCCCTCGAAACCAACCTCGACAGCACCGGTCCGAATATCTCGGCCCACGCCATCGATGTCTCCCAGACGCGTCGGTTCATTCTCGGCCGGCTCACCTCCTTCATGCATGTCCTGCCCCCGAAGCCCATCGGCGTCTGTCTGGAACTGGTACGCGAGGTCTGGCGGCGGATGGACGCCGGCGAACCGGAGGTGTACTGGATGGACGTCATGATGGAAAAGGGGTGGGAGACGACGATGGGCTGACCTCAACTTACAAAAGAAAGGGAACACTTTGACGCAAGAACATGTACATATATACTTATGAGAATGAATGCTGGATACCCGGCTTATCGTATGAATTGTATGAACTGCACTTTGCATGACAATCTCCGCGTAACGAATATCAGACAGGATAACTTCTGTCTGCAAGGGTGACTATTTTCCCACGTGGATGGTATCGACATTGGACTCCCGACAATTGATTTAGAACTCACATTGGACCAGCGTTTCAAATACCTCGATCGCGTATTGCCCCTCCTCACTCCAACCAACACCTCGACTAACAAGATTTGATAACAAGGAAGAGAAGAACAGTGGTTTGGAAGAGCCCGAAAAGAAAGGCAGAATGTGAGGGTGAAGAAAGCAGAATGGAAAAAAAGATCATGGAGTTAAAGTGGAATAATCCAAGCAAGAGGCACGCATGCCCAAGTGAAGTCCCAGGGGAATTATGATACACAGAAATGAATAGGCTGGTGAAGTTGAATGAAAAAGAAGAAAGGAAAAGCATCAAGTGCTCCAGATGGGGTGATTAAAGGTAGGTAGATAAGATGCAATCATATAATGCTCAGTCCCCGGTTCAGGGAGTAAGTGGTCATGAGAAACTCAAACATGAGATAAGTGGCGAGATAAGGAGTTCGCAAGCGATGCAGGAGAAGAGGAATATCAGGCCTGTTCATACCGCCCGTCTCCAGAACTTCCAGCCTTCGCGTTTTTCCTGAACGCCGACACCTACGAGTCTTTCGATGCCGACGGGGCCATCGGCGTTCTCGAACTTTTGCTGGTCAATTTCCTCACCACCCTCCTCATCGGTGCCGTTGCGCAGAACTGCCGGCCAAAGGACACCGACACCGTCACCGCCTAGAGTGGTCTCGTATTTCGTGAAGTTCTCATCGGTAAGCTTCTGCTCGAGCTGTTGTAGAGACTCTTCACTGGCATCCGGGCGAAGAAGGGAGATTGCACATCCACCTCCACCGGCACCAGTTAACTTGGACCATCCAATGTCGGTATAGTCAACCAGCTCGCGGATTCGTTCCAGTCGCGGATGCGACACGCCTAACGACACAAGCAACCCATGGTTAATACGGAGCAAGGAACCGAAACTTTCAAGCTCCTTCTGGTCCAGAGGCCTGCCGTCCGTATTCTTGATGGCATCTTTAGCAGACACAGTCACCTTCTCAATCGCGTCCAGCATCGATTCGGTCACCAGGGGATGCTCCTCTTTGAGCTTGCCCACCTTAGCAACCTCAACCGCGGTGGAGCGGGCCTGTCGTGTGTCTATCAGCCAGAGGGGCAATTCAGGGAAGTTGGGTACCGGCACCACCGTGGGCGGCTTGGTGTAGTCTTCGCGCCGGAAGAACACAGCCTTACCGCCTGCGGAGACCGTATTGTCCACTCCACTCGGGTTTCCATGCATACACATTTCTCCGACGAAAGCCCATCTATTGATGCGCTCGATCTGAAGCTCCGCCTCGTCTGGGGGTTGGTCGGGGTGAGGACCAGCTAGTGTGCGGATTTGAAGTAGCAGGGCCGTACTCATACAGACGCAAATACTAGCACTGCTACCGAGCCCAGCTCCAATGGGAATGGTGGAGCGCAAGGTGTAGATAGCGCCATGACTCTGGGGAGAGCCCAGGGAGCAAAAGAGGTATAGGAACGCTAGGGCAGAGCGACTGTGGATTTTTCGTAAATCCTCCGGCGCATGGGGCGATACGTCTTGAACGTGGGGTATGAGTGCGTCGTACAACTCGGTGTCGAGAGATGTGACTAGGTCGTAATAGTACTTCTTCTTGGAGGGCTGCTTGAAGAGGTCCCATGGTAGCTCATCGATGTTCCAGGTGTGATCGAACTTGATGTCTCGGAAGTTTAAGGTAATAGTGCGCTGCGACTTGGACAGGGTGGTGACGAGAAAGTAGGAGCGGAGGGAGATGGCAGCAGCCATGGCTGCCTTGCCGTGTACCACGGCATGTTCCCCGAAGACGATGACCTTGCCCGGCGCGGACACCATGAACGGCGGGGCCATGGGAGATGAAGCTTTTCGGGCCATAGCTTTCTTAAGTGAACCGGCTTCAATGGTAGGAGAGGTCGTAGACAAACTGGAGGTAGTTATGTTGGTGGTGTTGGTGGAAGTTGTAGAGGCGGCGTCGGAGGTGTCAGGGCTATCATCGCAGACGGTAACCGTCTTTGCACGAGGGGGGAGGGATGGATCGGATATAACGTGTGACATTGTGCGACGTTGACCGCTCTTGGATGCTCTGAGACTACCAGGCTTGCGACGACCGCGACCGTTGTGCATTCCTGGTGGAATTGACTTATAAAGTGCGGTGATATAAGTGTGGAGGGAGGGGAGGGGGGGGAGTCAAGGCGGGTGGAGATGTAAGGGGAGAGTAGCAGAAAGAAGGCGCGAACGAATGTCGAGGTTGGCAAAGACAAAGTCAAGGGGTAAAGGAAGGAGAGACTAGATGTTGAATCGAGTAAAAAGCATCGCGCTTTTTGTAGAGAGACTTGCGAACAAGAAAAAAAAAGAATTAGGGATAGAGAAGAAGGAATTGGGGAGAGAAAGACGGAAAAGGGGAGTGAGTGAGATTCGCAACTGCCAACTGCTAGCAGTTAGGAAACATTGCAGTGATTGGGGTTTCTTGACTGGGGGGGAAACACCAAAGGGCCTGGGCTAGCCTGAGGTGTCCACCACCAGCTCATCCACCTCAAATCCGCCAATCACGCAGGAAGTATTGCTCATTACTCACCGGCGGTTCTTGTTTGTCCGCACCGTGATAGGCACACCAATTTACAAGCAATCAATCATTCTTTGACCCCGGCTGTCATGGAGGCAGGCATTGTTCAAGCCCCGGGGGTCATGTTCATGAAGACTGGATTCTACACGGTAGCTGTGAGTCTGCCTGTAGCTTCCCTGCTGTCGGCTGAGTTGTTTCTATGCAGCATTGTTTGGGCTGACACCAGTCAGCATCAAGCATCAGCTGCAGCTCGGACCACTTAGTTATGCTTTTTCTATACTTCTAGAACCATTGGGGCCCTCTTCCCCATGGTCTCTCCCTTCGCTTGTTTGAGTATGATCTTTGGCTTAGTCTACGCGCATAAAGCAGGACGGTGGGTGTCACTACACATCATCTACCCTACAAGCATTGCAGTTGAGCCCCAACAGTGCCCGGGACTACGAGGAACATGACGGCATGCGGAGCAAGTCTAATCAATAATCCTATGAGTGATAACAAAATGGCTACACCACGATGAATAAACATCCTGAGCCTCCCATCCGGGGCTTGGTGTAACCATGCATCCTGCATCGCGGCCGACAGCTTCAGCGACTTCGACTAAAGCACTGACTCACTCTGGTCTCGAGGTCTTTCAGTCCACAATTTCTTTCTCTCGAGTTGCATAACAGATATCATAAGGCTAGTTCAAGCATACCTCCAGCGCCCGCATCAGAGTGGCGGTCGTCGATGCAATATCCTTGGCAGCATCGCCTATCATAGTCGCAGTTGCCCCGTTGGTAGAAGCGATATCCATCTCGATAACGATGGCAACGTCCACTCCGACCGTAGTCTCGAATTTCGTAGCAGCGATCACGTTGGCCAGCCACGGCGGTCAACAGGCTGCAGCCGACAAGAAAGGACAGCCAACCGCTGAGTTGCATGGTGATTCAGGCTGTTTCGTCGTGATAAAGCTTGATAATCTGGAGAGAAGGAAGACTGTTTGTAGACTCCCCCATGATGGGCGAATGCAGTCCAGCTTATATACCCTCGAGCTGCTGCCATGATGCCCTCGCAGAACATCGTCTGTCCGAGTACTGCAGACCTTCAGCCGCAATGCAGATTGCAATCGGAATGTTTTTGGAAGTCAATCCCCCACTCGGACATTTACCTATGCAACACAGAGAACCAGACATCGCAACCAGCTGACCGAAAAGCTCCCCTCCTGTACAAAGTCCTCCATGCTTGTAGAACACAATACTGCAACGGTGGCTACATCTTCATGGACCGATTGGCAGTAGAGTTGATGTTCGAGTCGACGGCGCAGCTATGAGCATCCTCTTCGGCCGACAGGTCGACTATCTCGATTGTTCATGCCTCACTTCTCGGAGGGTACGTCTGTTTTATATTGCAATCCCCTCATCTTGGCGGTGACATTATTGTCTGCGGATGCTACTGCAGCCAGTGAGCATCATCATGGCTTTGTCCTGAAAAGGAATCACCACCTAGTGTTCTTTGCTAGTCTATACTTGACGACTTCCAAGTATCGTTGGTGCTTATTTTCATCCGATTTACCCGTGGTGATGTGATCGGAGACATGTTAGACTGGCTCTTCCACCTTCACATTATCATGCAGGATGTCATCATTTGACGGGATAACAGAGCAGATCCCGTACGGAGTTGAGAGAACTGGCTGGAGTTCTGCCGACTGACGATGACCGGCTGGAAAGTGCAGATTATGAGCATTGATGCGAACGAAGTCGCTGGACTTGCGCAGAAGCGCGCAGCAATTACCATCCACTATATCAATGTTTTGTCTCTGAAGGGTTCGTCACAGCCGCTTCGCCGATAGAAAACCGAGGAGGTGGCGACAGATTCTCTGAGCTTGCTGTCCGGTGATCTCGGTGACTATTTGGATGAAAATCAGAATGCTGCATGGGATGAGCACTATTCCCTCACAGCTGGTGCCAGGCCGAGTTGTTGAACCTTATCGCTTAGTCTTCATCATTTCTTGATGTGGTTATTGCAGGACAATACCGGGTTGGTGGGTCCTCGACGTTCAGGGCATAACCATTTCAGCAACTTGTCCCAGCCATACCTGGCCTCGTGTTGACATACTGCACAACCTCTTTCCTAAGCTGGAGAGATTGTCTGACTAGCCTGAATGAAGTCGATTTGACTTGCTGAGGACTTGGAGGGATAATTCACGCACGGTTTAGGCTAGATCAAAGCAACCATGGACATTGCGCAAGCCAGTCAAGAAGTATATCTAACTCAGTGCAGGCTCGAAGGTCTTGGCTAACGTTTGCAGTCTATATCCGCAGGATGAATCGAGGTCTTAGTCAAGCGTCCAGAGGCTCTATGCAAGCCACAAACCTTGATTCAAAACCGGGCAGCGCAGCAGCAGGTGGCAGTTTGGCAGCTCTGCCGCCAGTCGAAAATAGCAGATCGACGACATTGAGCAGACAGCCTGATTGAAAAACAGTACGTCAGAAGTGGAGATGACTGGCCTTGTGGCTGCAAATCTTGAAGCAATTGTTTTGCAGGTCTTTCCTTCACCGGAACAGTGCATGGGTTTAGGTTCGTCTGATGCAGGAATTATGGTTCGCTACCGCCCGGACTGTTGACACTCTATACTTGTCCCATGACTTCGAACTTCATCCCTTTCTTGACGACTCCACAACGTGCGCTATAGCCATCATGGATGAGTTCATAGTTCGCCAGCCTGGAAGTGCTGTCAAAGTGGAGTCCTTGGGGCCAATGCTGCTCTGGCAGCGATGAAATGACCTGCGCACTCGATCTATAAAGCGAGGCTTGTTCTCCAGCTGATACAACCTTCTGAGGATAACATCTAAATAAGATAATCCAAAGGAGATCAGAGATTTTCTCACTATTTGACTCTCTCGATCAACAAAGACTATCAAAAACTAGAGCTTACGATCAAGATGACCCGAATTTCGAACGCTGTCACCCTGCTCGGCGCAGGCACACAAGGCTCACGCCTGGCCTATATGGTATGCCGCATCGGAATCACCAAGATTCCAGTCCGTGCTAAGAATTGTTGCTTTCAGTGGTCTCGTCTCGGAAGACCAGTGTATATCGTGGACAAGAACTCGAATCAGCTATCCCAAGCATCAAGCAGCATTGAGAAGCTGCGCCGCAAAGAGTCATCACCTAGTGAACACGGTCCAATCATCGAGCTCATCGCCGCTGATTTGGACAAGGCGCTCCGTGAATCCTGGCTGGTTATCGAGGTATGTATCCTCGTCAAAAGCAGAAACGCCTGGCTGTGGTACCAGCTCTAAACCTTCACCAGTGTGTCCCGGAGAATCTAGATCGCAAACGATCGATCATCAAGCAGCTCGACAGCCAAGCCGATCCAGATATCATCATCGCGTCCAACTCCAGCAGCTACTCAATCACGGAGGTCTGCGACGGCCTGGAGTTCAACGCCGATGACCGATTCGTGAATCTGCACTCTTGTTGGTCTTCCTTGCCCCAACCTCCAACCTCCAACCTCCTTCAAACAATCGAACTAACACACCACACCTACTCAGTCTGGCCACCAGAGACACGAGGTTTGAGCCCTCCCCTCCCCCTCCCTTTACATCAACACCCCTTCATAAGAGAAAATTGATTCATACCCCACAACAGTCCTCGAAATAATGGGCACCGACAAAACCCGCCCCGAGATCATCCCGCGCCTCATGAACGAGTCCCGCGAGCATGGCTTCCAGCCCTTCCACGTCCGCAAGTCCTCCACCGGATACATCTTCAATCGGTACCTAGTCAAGCCCTATCGTCGCGAGCTATGACACATGCTAATTTCACGACTGGGAACATAGGATCTGGGCCGCGATTAAGCGAGAGACTCTGATGGTGCTGGAGGAAGGCATTGCCACCCCGGAAGAAGTCGACCAGATGTACAAGGCCGTCCTGCACACTCCCAAGGGCCCCTGCGAGCAGATGGATGTGGCCGGGCTGGACGTGATCCTGGCGATCGAGGAGCATTACGCGGAGGTCCGTTCGGGCATCCCCGACGGACCGCGCAAGTATCTGCGGGAGATTGTGGGTCGGGGGGACCTTGGGGTGAAAACTGGTGCTGGGTTTTTTGATTATAATGAGTAAGGAGATGGTGACAGTGTGGGTGCTTATGTTTCTGTATACTGTCTTGTGAAGTCCCTTGGCTTGAGTCTGGTTTATGTGATTCATGATTGTTGTCAGTTATCAAGGGACGGCATGTAAAGTATTTCGGTCTACGAAGTATGGGCATCTTGGCTGGTTGACTAAATATTTTCCTCTGGTTGGTTTCTTGGCATATACTACATCTTCAGCATTGTCGTTCTTCCTCTGGGGTCTTCTCTAGTTTACGTTATTTATTTGTTTATCTTTGGAGACTCCTTGTTCTCATTTGTCATTTCTCAGCTGTAAATAAGGTTTGTTTACAGTTGCAAAAGGAATCGCGACAATCACTGTCATAGAATCTTCACCAAGGACACCAGTGCATCAGACGCGCCTGCCCCTTAAATGTCCTTCTCAAAGATAATGTTTCTTAACAAATGAAAGGTATAGAAGAATCCGAAGGTTGTATTTGATCTAATTTAGTTAACTACTATATTCACAGTTACATGGAAAATAATAGTCATAGAAAGAATATACACATAAGCCTCCTATTGCTCATGATAGGCATAGGAGTCAGTATGTCTAGATTAGTAGATTTCGAAGGGCTGGTATCTTCACCGCTGATACAGATATAAATATACATCAACGAGCTATGCTATATCATACATGCCACTACCCTTGTAATTCATCCGTCTTCTCTTCTCTTCGTCTCTTAAATGAATTCTTTTCTTCTCTTTCCTTTTCTTTTTGCTGTCTTGTTTTTCTTGGCGACTTCTTCTTCAGCATCAAATACAAGAAAAATCACAGGTTCATCGTTACAGTCATACTGTTACTGTGCACAAGCAGACAAGGCGGCAAACCCTGCCAGAAGATTTCCAGATCGCTCAGGTACGAAGCACTCGCCGCCTCATTCTGCGCTGTTCCCTCGGACGGCGATGGCAGTGTCGTGAAGACCACCGCCGTGTCTTCGCTATGTCTCACCATTAGCTCGTTCAGGATTAGGTGCTGCGCCCGGCTGGGTAGATCGTTGAACGAAAAAGGCACAGACGCCTGCTGCGGGTACCCAGATGCGGCTGCCGCTCGCGCCGCGAACACAGACAAGGGCCCGGAGGATGAACGGCGGGTGTAGATGGATTCGATCCGGGGGTGAGAGGCGGAGCGCGGCGGGGAGGAGCTGGTGGCGAACATGATGGACGGGCCAGCACCTTCTTCTTCGGTGTTGACGCGGGCTTCAGGAATGGGGGAGGAGCTGAAGCGGTTGCTGGACGGTGAGCGGGAGGGTTTCGGCCGCGGGAGAACGGTTGATGGTGATGGGGGAGTTTGAGGGGTTCCTGCGGGGTCTGTGGGGGTGTCGGCGGTCATGACAATCGAGGGGATGGGCTGGTCCGGGGTAACAGCTTCAGATGATTCTCTTTGTTTGGCTTTGACGGAGCTGAATATGTTCTGCTGGGAGCCTTGGTCGGGGTCATGGGAGTAGTCGTCTTGTTGATGCGCGTCTTCCTCACCAGACTCGTCATCATCCCGGTATGGTTCAAACTCCTCGTCGCTGCTGTCACTCGTGCTGGAATCGCTGGAAGCGTCGTAGTCTACGAAAGCATCGAGCAAGCGATGGGTTTGCATACCCAGACTGACGCTTCCGAGGCCACGGAAGCTGGAGATTGATCGTCGTCGTTTGTTGGATTGCATGAGCTTTCGCAGACCGCCAACCAGCTGGTGCGGTGGTCGTTGAATACCACTTTCCGGGCTTTGCACCGGCCAACTTGACATCCTCTCCCTTGAATGGGCGAATCCACCCAGTTCGGCTTGGTCCTGGGCCTCGAGAACGCTACGAGCTCGTCGAGTGTCTTGCCACCAATCTTCATCCTTGAGAGCTTCGTGAACACGGTCGACATAATCTTCCGTTTCTGGAGTTATCTCACCATTCACAATCATACGGTATGTTTTGAGGTCTCCGCATGCAAGCCAGAACACCAAGACCTCAGCCTCGATTCTGAGCTTTTCAAGCAGTGCCTCAACCCTGCCCCGTTCGTCTTCCACGTCAGTCTCGTACTCGACAAATACCGATACCCGCAGCTTGTATGTCTTTTTCCAAGACGGCACGGTATTAAGGATACACCCTAACTGCAAAATCAAGGTATAAGTGTCAAAGTTCGTAGTCAAGACGTTTTTCTTGCTCTCCGTGTCCGCGCCTAGCTCTGCACTCATCTGAATAGGCCAAAGATCGATGTACTTCTTCAGATGTTGTCCTTGAGGACCAGGCAGCTCGAGGTTCTCGAATCCTTTGGCCACAGCAACGTTCATGCGCAGCTTGAAGAGCAGATCCTCCAAGATAGTCACATAGCTTCGGCAGGCCATTGGTGTCTCGGGCGAGCTTTCTGTCACTGAAGCTGCTTCACGCGAGATGCGTCTACCTGATGAGTCTTTCCGACCCGAATCTCTTCGGCTTGGAAATTGGAATTTTTCCACTAAGGACCGACCTTTGCGGAACTGATCGATGACCACGATATTTGGTCGCATACCGCCCAGTCCTGCACTCAAAGCGACATTACGAATACCCCATTCCGGTGTTGGGGAGACCGTAATGTTGACAAAAGCCTTGACTCTAGAATTCTCAACGAACTTGGTCCACGCACTCTGTTGACGCCGGGCTTCAGGCACGGCTGCGGAGAAGTCATCTGTGACAAGAACGTGACCTAGTACAAATAAGCCCCCTTTTTTCAGAGAGTTGCAGAAGGATATCATCCGAGACTGCTCCTCCAGGTTGGTCACAAATAATAAGATCTGAGGCCGCCAGAACTTGACGTGTTCTTGCCGAAGCCGGAGCAAATACTTTCGCACCTGGTGGTAGATCAAACTCTGGCTCACATCGCCCCATGGCTTGGGCGGTGAACTATAGTGGATGAGAAGGAAGAGTAGCATCAGTATCGCAACGCAACCTGAAGCATAGACGCCATCCACGAAAAACATGCTTGCACCGCAGACCAACGTGCCTGTTGCTGCGGTCTGCCAGTTGAAATAATGGAAGGATGGACGAAAGTTCGGAGCAGACCCAATCTTCAGCAAAAAACACGCAAGGTTTGTGACAAGAAATGTCATGAGATATGTCATGGTGACGAATGAGGCAATCTGGTTGATGTCAAACAGCATCGTGAGCTGAGCGACTATATAGGTGATGATGATCGCGTAGACAGGTTCATCAGCCTTCTTCGTGCCCTGGCCGAAGATCCCCAGCCCTGGAAGCAGACCATCTCGTGCAATCGCTTGAAGAAGCTTGGCCGAACCGATAACTCCCATCAGTGACGAGAAGAAACTGGTTGCAAACTCCCCCATGAGGATGACAGCCCCAGAAAGATTAGCCTGTCACACAATCAGCACGTAATAATCCGTAATCCTTCATGCGATCACTTACTACTTGTACAACATTGGCATTTCTGTAAAATGAGTCACGGGTGATAGAGGCAGCCATAGCGACAATCACCAAAGTATAAGTCACAAACGTGAGCCCCAAACCGCAAAGAGTACCCTTTGGGATGGATTTGCTAGGGTTCTTCAAGTCCCCAGACATACTAGCACCGCTGCTGATGTGTAAGTCTCGTATTCTATGGTCATGGGAGACGTACCTACGCGAAAATACCACCAGTGGCAGGGAACAAGATACCAAACAGATCCTGGAAATTCTCACGTCCTGGGAGCTGGCTGCCTGCCGCACCCTTTGTGAGCTTGGGCTTGAGATTTTCTAACAACGTCTGTAGGCGGAAGCCCGTGAACTCGACCCCAATCTTAGGGATGCTGAACGGCTTCATGAAGATTGCAGATAAAGGTATGCTGAAGGTTGCGACCAGCAAAATGACCAGCAGTCCGTTGCTGGCCCTGGAGAAGATCGAGCTTCCAGCTAAACATATTCCAGTACATAGGACCAGGATTATGGTTTCCCAGAGATACTGCCACCAGAAGCCTTCTTCGAGAAAATTGGCCCAAGTGCCAGATTCTGTGCCGAAGTTCTGTTTAAAACAATCAACCAGACCCACTGCATTCATACCAGTGTTCAGCACATATCCAAGATAGAACACAATGCCAATGGAGCCACCAAACTCGGGGCCCAGTGAGCGAGAAATCAGAAAGTATGCGCCACCACCGCGGACTGTGCCATTAGTCGCGATGGCGGACAGCGACATGGTCGTCACCAGATTGATGGTGTACGAAATGACAAGTAGACCTTGTATTGGTTAGTCAATCATCGGTGCCTCTAGAAATGACATGCGGTATGTTTACCTAGCATTCCTAGCAGCCCAGCTTGTCCAAGGATGAATCCGAACCGGAGGAACATCAGAATACTCAAAACATTCAATGTCGTTGGGACAAAAACCCCGGAAAATGTCCCCAGCTTGTCAGGGTTATCGAAAGCTCGGTTCTGGGCCTCGCGCTCTTTCTGGTCTACGCCAGACTCTCTGAAGGGACCTGAAGCTGGGGGTGGAGGAAGAGTGCCTTCCCTGGGGAAGTCGTGTCTTCCATCCCTGCCTTGTCCGCTCCACCACTGGGTAACATTACTGAAGACACTGGTAGGAAGCGAGTGACGGTGCCGCTTAGGCGAACGTGAAGATGGCCTCAGGGGTCCATATTGATGGTTATCACGATCTGGAACTGTAGTTGTTCCTTGAAAGACTTTACTACTGTGTTCCGGTGATGATTTGATCGAGTCACTAGGGTCTAAGCGGGAGACATCCTCCTCAGCGGTGCGCGTGGAGAAATTGGGCCTCCGTCGAGACAGGGAGTCCGAAGAATTGGCGGCCCGCTGGTCAGTCATCGATAAGTTCCAGCGCCTCCACTCCTGTTGAGTGAGTGTGTCCGCCTGGCCTGCATACAAGCACCACCGATAAAAATTTGAGAGGGTGGGGTGGAGAACTGTCAAGTCCGGGGAAAAGACTAAGATTGGAAGGGGAGGCGGACTCGGCGATAAGGAATTTACTGCTGACCCAGTCACGAGGAGAGTAATGTGACAACAGCGACAGCAGTAATCCTCGTGCAACAAACAGAATGGAGAGTAAAGGGAAGGGAAGCGAAGGCAAGGGAAGGGAAGCAAGTAGCACAAGATATGGGGGGAGGGAGGGATGGATGGATGCCAATCGCGTGTTCGATTAACCGTTATCTTCAGAGCAAATTCATCGGGCGGCGATGACCTCATGTGCCCCCTAAACAAACAGTGCAAATCGTCTGTGCTTCTCTCGTATTATGGATTGCCTCGTTTGCGACTGAATCGATGCCTCATCATTCTTCTTCCTACAAATATGTTACAATGTGGACATGATTCATCTCACCCGCCTCATCCTATTTTGGGCTACGTCGGAAAATAGGCTGGAGACTAGCTAAGTCAACTCACAGGAGGCTTAGCTGGTTAGTTGGTTAGTGTCCCTGTCGGTCTAATGCGGTGAATCAATTGTGGCTTGCACTTATCCCCGGCTTTCTTTCGACCTTCATTAGCTATTCTTCTTTCTTTCCCCCCCCCCCCCTCCACACACACACTCTCTCTCTCTCGTTTCTCCCCAAACTCTGCTCTTGAACCAGCTCAGTCTCCTTCTGTCAACCCGGTTCTCTCAATCTTGGTTCACTTCCGAAAACTCAAATAGACGAATTGTTTTCGGGATTGTTCCAGGATTTGTCTGATCCTTGCACAAGGACACTTCGGACACTTCTAACACATCTGTCAAAATGTCATCCCCAAAGGCATTCGACAATGGGGAGGGCTCCTCGTCTTTACGGCCCCGTTCATCGTCGCCAATTTCCACCTCTGCAATGCGGTCTAGATCCCCTGCAACCGACGCCTCAGTGAGGCATGCCTCGATCGCCCGCCTGGCGTCCCCGATTCCCTCTCCCTCCAATCATTCTTACTCGTCCCGACAGGTGCCCGTGCCCGTGCAGTCGGCAAGTGGCACCCTCGAGGGCTATCGCAAAGTCGACCATCCCTCCTCCGTACCAGGTCCGGGCCATTCGATGATCTCCTCTGCTCTCCAGGAGTACATGGGCAAATCGCCGCCAGCGAGAGTAGGAACTCCGCCCAGACAGACCGCGTCTCCTGCGCTACTAAACCAACCCATTCGATCGAACTACGGATCCTTCGACGGACGAGAGGGCTCGGAGTATTCCGCGGGTCCTTATGAAGATCCGGAAGTTGTCAAGCGGCATCTGGTACAACCTCAAAATGGAGAAGGCCGGGATTACTATTTCTCGGGCGATGCAGCCAGTAACGCGGATGACGAGTTCTCCAGCTTGCAGCTCCAGGGTGGTGACATCACCAGGCAGGTTTACAGGTGGGCGGAAGATGCAGAATCTGGAAACTCCCTGCGCAAGCCTCAACGGAGCAGGAGTTTCAGCCATAACCGGCCTCTGCCCCAAGACGAAACGATGAACATTAACAGCATCCGTGTACCGGGAGGTTTCCGCAGAGACTATCTGCGAAGAGCTGTGGGCCCCGGGGACTCTGAAGACTCAGTGCAGGCGCCCATCAGCCAACCTCAGTTTCCGACAAGCAGCTTCCTTGAGTTCTTGACCCTGTATGGTCACTTTGCGGGTGAAGAGCTAGAAGAGGATGATGAGGTACTGGGTCCTGACGAGTACTTCTCGTCTGATACCTATGACGAAGTAGAGGGTAGAGAACCCGGTGAAGACTCGGCTCTGCTTCGCCCGGATACGGCTGGTAGAAGAAAGCGTAAGCCACGGGGCGGCACTGGAAACAATACGGTGACAGGCGCGGCTCTTCTACTGCTCAAGTCCTTTGTGGGAACGGGAGTTCTGTTCCTCCCAAGAGCTTTCTTGAATGGAGGCATGCTGTTCAGTAGTATGGTTTTGCTTGCAGTGTCGCTTCTCAGTTTCTACTGCTTCATACTCCTAGTCAACACCCGGTTGAAGGTTGATGGCTCGTTTGGTGATATTGGTGGCCACCTTTATGGCAAACACATGCGGCGCATTATCCTGGGCTCGATTGTTCTGAGTCAGCTGGGCTTCGTGTCGGCGTATATTGTGTTTACCGCGGAGAACCTTCAAGCCTTCGTCCTCGCCGTGAGCAATTGCAAGTCTTTCATTGACATCAAATTCATGGTGTTGCTGCAGCTCGTCATCTTCCTGCCCCTTTCGTTGATCCGTGATATTAGCAAACTTGGATTTACCGCACTGATCGCCGATCTCTTCATTCTGCTTGGTCTGATCTATCTCTTTTACTATGATTTCCTTACCATCTCGAACCAGGGTGGTATCTCCGACATCATCTCATTCAATCCGTCCACGTGGACTCTATTCATCGGAACAGCTATCTTCACGTACGAAGGAATCGGCTTGATTATCCCCATCCAAGAATCTATGAAGGAACCTCACCGCTTCCCCGGTGTTCTGGCTGGCGTCATGGTCATTATCACGATTGTGTTCCTTTCCGCTGGCGCCGTCAGCTATGCAGCCTACGGTTCGGCAACCAAGACCGTTGTCATCCTGAACCTTCCCCAGGATGACAAATTCGTGAACGCGGTGCAGTTCCTCTATTCTCTAGCCATTCTTCTCAGCACCCCGCTGCAGCTCTTCCCTGCCATCCGTATCATGGAGAACGAGCTGTTCACACGCAGTGGAAAGTACAATCCCTGGATCAAGTGGAAGAAGAACTGTTTCCGGTTCTTCCTCGTCATGATCTGCGCATTCGTCGCCTGGGGCGGCGCCGAAGATCTCGACAAGTTTGTGTCGCTCGTTGGCAGTTTCGCCTGTGTTCCATTGATCTATGTATATCCGGTACGCTCATTGACGGCTTCGCCGCTCTTCCCGTCCTTTATCACTTTATCGCTGACAATGTATTACGCAGCCTCTCCTTCACCTCAAGGCCTGCGCTCAGTCTCGCAGACAGCAAATTGCCGACATCGCTCTGGCCATTTTCGGTGTCCTCAGCTGTCTGTACACAACATCTCTGACGCTCAGCAACTGGATCAATGGCGGCGACGTCAAGCCTCCGGGATACTGCGACTCCTGATCTGTACAGATTGGTCCACGAATTGTCTACTGATCCTCCTCCGATGTCTGATCCTTCCCTAACGAATTGTCCAGTACGTATATGATGGACACTTGTGATGCCCACTGCTGTTGCTACAGATACATAGCTCTTCTGTCTGTTCGATTATCTTGCTTCCTTGCTTGTTTGTCTCAGTGCTTGGTTACGAGACCATTGTCAACATCCACCCCAGCCCTTCCCTATCTGCTCTGGTCCTTCGACCGGGTTTCTTGCCATGTTTGATATAGACTCTAGACGAGATTGCCAATTTACGCACTATACATCACGAACCCGCAAGACAACCAAGAGATCTGTGTAGACAACACTCCCAAGAAAAAGACTTTACGAAGAAGATGGGAACCTAACCGGACCAATCTCCAATTCTAGTAGGGCACGATAAAGAATAAAATGAGAGGGAGCTATATACACAAAAAAAAACGAAAACAAAGCAACCCGCCATGCAAGAACTTGCTAGTAACGGAAAACGGAGGAGCCGAAAGAAGCCACGAGAAATCCACCAACCGTGTAATCAAAAGCAGCAGCAGCCAGCCAGCCCTCCTTGCACACAAAGAGTTGTTGGCAAAAAAGGAATCGAAATACTCCGTAAATCCCTTCCTCCCTTACCTAACTGCTATATCATACAGGTTCTCAACACCCGCGATTCCATTCAAACCCCCGCCGCCACACCCACAGCACAGAAACAGAGGACGAGAAACCTCATAGAGGAGAGAGAGGAAAGAGAGATTGTCTATTGACCGGCTTCGGTGGCTTCCTTGCCCTGCTCAGCGGCCTGAGCGAGCTTGGCTTCATGGCCACCCCAGCTGTTTTTTGAAGAATAGATTCGTAAGCTTTAGTGATCTGTTGGGTGTACAGTTTTGCACGATCACGTAGATCGGATACCGTTGTCGGGGGGGAGGAGAAACTCACTTCCAGTAGTTCAGGTAGCGGTAACCTTGGGTCAGCTGGGCGGAGAAGTTGACGGCGTGGCAGGCGAACAGAAGGTAGTTCTTGGGGGAGACGGCGAGAGCGTAGCGCATGAAGGTACCGGAGTAGATCACGAGGGCACCGGTCATTTGGCCGGAGATGCTGCAGGGCAGGGTCAATACGCGTCAGCTTTTGGGCACAAGTCTTGTTTTTTTTATGATTGTTCCATGTTCAGTGGGCGAGATGCTATTCTCCTCTTGCGTTCCCGTCCGGGCCGCGGGATGGAGGTGAAGATCCGATAGAAGGAAGGAAGGAAGGTTTAAGGTGGAACGTACATCTCGGGGTCCTTCTGGGTGTCCATGACAGCGGCAATGGGGATACCGAAGTTGGAGGCAGGGCCCCAGAAATCTGCATGATCATAAAGAAGTTAGTCGACAACATAGAAAGAGCTTCCAAGGTGTGATGGCACGGGTTTCGCAAGCAGTTGCCCGTTGTAAGCCGGAGACGAGCTTTTGGCCGTCTATTCTGTCTGTCTTACTGCAGGACTTCATGGCCGGCCGATCTCGGTCAGGGCACGGGGAAGGGAACCGGGGCGCAACACGTACGTGTAGAGCAGACATAGTCCAGAACCTTGTTGGAACGGATCTTAGCGTTGATTGCCTTGATTGCAGCAGCCATTTTGAGCGACGAAGGGGAGAATGGATGGAGAGGAGAGTGACGCTGAGAGGAGGGAAGAACGGGTTAAGAAGGCAGAGAGGGCGAGGGTTGCTTTGCTACGCTCCCCGTCACTGCGCCGTTCGGCGGGCGGAGAGGCTCGGATGCGGTCACGTGTTGGCCAGTTGCCGGAGTTCGTTGACTCCGGACTACGGGGCTTTTATGCAGTACGGAGTGATACGATTTTCCTGTCCGACAGTGTCCAGTATAAGAAAATAAAGCTCTGGGTCTCATTATGGTTGAATAGTACAGTGCTTGTTGGAAGAATATCTACCATTGCTTCCGCCAATCCTAGCCTTGTTGTTTTCAGTCGACCTTTTCTTATCTTCTGAGGAGCATCCGCACACGCCGAAACGCCTTTGCCTGATAAAATGAGGATGCTGTGCTTTCATTTGTTGAAGCTTCCATAAGCCAACCATGAGCGCGAGGTTTGGGCCTCATGCTCGACGTTCAACGCGATTTCTGCCATGCTTCAAGTCATGGTCAGATTGTACGCTATCATGCCCACGCCACCTACTATCGAATCACCGTCCGCCAAACCCGGGAGGAGGATAGCCCCGGCCTTGGCCAGGAGGCTGGAAGCCCGGGGGAGGTTGGAAAGCACCCGCTGTGGTAGAATAGATGTTAGTACACGTAGTATATAGTCAAAGGATGTTGAGCTACTTACGAGGAGCACCTTGGGGCGCAAATCCAGGAGGGGGAGCGAAGCCAGCTAGATTATCGCTTAGTCAATTGGTCAATGACGACTAGTATAAGGGATACTTACGAGGTCCTCCAGCAGGTCCTCCGCGACCAGCAAAGCCCGGAGGCGGCGCGCCGGGGAAGCCGCCCGGTGGGAAGCCGGGGAAACCACCAGGGGGAGGGGGCGGGCCACCGACGCCAGCAGCAGGGCCTCCAAGTCCGACCGGCAGACCACGTCCAGCGGGTTTGCTAATGCCAGGACCAGCAGCGAGGGTAGCGGCAGCGGCAGCGGCAGCACCAGGGACGCTTGCTCCCAAACGTGCGGAGGGGTCGGCGGGTGGGGGACCGTCAACGGAGCAAGAGACGACGTGAGTACCACGAACGATTGTCAAACCGAGGGTTCGCTTCTCTTCGGCCTCGACCAGGCTCGCGGTGGTCGATCCGGCGGCGGGCTTGGACTTCCGCTTGACGCGACGGAATTCTTCGGTGTCGGCAAGGACAAGGTTCATGTGCTGCGCAAAGATGTCAACATGTATCCACCCAGAGAAAGTCGGAGTATAGTGTCGTAGCTTGGGAGAAAGTAAGTACCTTGTCGAAAGCAAGCATCTGTCCTGTCATCTGTCGACCATCGTTCAAGGTAACTCTCATCCGATAGTTGATCTGCGTCCAAGGTCAGAGCTGAATCACAGCGACCACCAGACAGTATTTCAGTTATCATCATGATGATGGGGGACTCACGAGGTTTTGCTACAATAAGTAAACAGTTAGCTCGATTTGTTCTAAGACACCCAATCCATCCTTTATCAATGAGAGGGGGTGGGGGGGGAGGTGACGCAGCTTACCATCTTGCCCTGCTTGTTGGCCATGTTAGGCGGTGTTTTGCGCACGAATGCGACTTGGATGGGATTCAAAGAATGAAATGGGAGTCAGGACGAAGGGGAAAAGAAGAGGGGTGCTTCTTTTCTGGGAACTTCACTCCGTGATCCGGGGGAGACAGCAGGCGCGCAAGTAGGTTAGCAGGCTAGCTGGAACTTTTGGCACCGACTGACTGACTTGAGCTCGAGCCGACCTGGACTTGCTGAGGTTCCCAACTCGCCGTGTCGGGTGAAGCGCGCGGCTCTTGCGGTCTTGGCGCCGAAGCGCCGATGCCAAGCCACTAAGGGCTCTCGCTTCCCACACGGCCAACCCACACATTTCCCTTTTCCGCACTTTTCGATCCTGTCTCTCTTTCACTCAACCAGTCGACCAGTTCACGCCAAAAGCAGTCGCCATGGTAGGTTTCCCTCCCACCAGCTCATTCTCCAGCACCCCATTATCCAGAATCTCTGGATTTTGCAATCCATCTCGAATTTTTGCCTCGCAGAACTATCGAAGAAGACCACATTTTCTAACATAATATTTTTCTCGCCATGCAGTCGGAAGGAAAGGACAAGAGCGCCAACCCTATGCGCGAGCTGCGCATCCAGAAGCTCGTGCTCAACATCTCTGTCGGCGAGTCTGGTGACAGACTTACTCGCGCTGCTAAGGTGCTCGAGCAGCTGAGCGGTCAGACTCCGGTCTACAGTAAGAACGCCCGATCCCGATCGCGATGAAGAACGAAGACACGACAAGACAAAGAAGACAAGACGAAAAGGGAACCAGTTAGGCTGATGGACCACTTTTTCAACTTACAGGCAAGGCCCGTTACACCGTCCGTACCTTCGGTATCCGCCGTAACGAAAAGATCTCCGTCCACGTCACCGTCCGTGGCCCCAAGGCCGAGGAGATCCTCGAGCGTGGCCTCAAGGTCAAGGAGTACGAGCTCCGCAAGCGCAACTTCTCTGAGACCGGTAACTTCGGCTTCGGTATCTCCGAGCACATCGATCTCGGTATCAAGTACGACCCCGGAATCGGTATCTACGGCATGGACTTCTACTGCTGCATGTGAGTGGGCCCTTTTCG